TTTAATTCAAACATTTCGCCTAAAATGTCCTATGGTGTGCTTGAGCGTGACATTGTTGTGTTACAGAATTACATGCTTATGATTTTGTAATAAAAGGTTTTGTAATAAAAACCGGGGGTGTTATTTGGGCCGGACCTTGTATTTGTGCTTCTGAAATCGCAGCATTTCAATGTTGTTGCTTTCGCAGTGCGACGCTGGTCTTTCTGGGCAGCTCTGCTCCCCCTACACCCCGAGCTCTGGCCTTCCTTTCCCCTGGATGGAGGCCCTGCTGGGGGTGGGGGCAAGGGTGGGGTTGCAGCTGGTGCTTCCTCTCCCTGTCCCCTTTAACGGAAGAGTAAACGGAGGCTCAGAGGCTTCACGCAGCTCACCAGGACCAGGGGAGGCTTGCGTGCTGGCCTGCCCATTTACAGCCAGTTTCCTTTCTCTGAGGGTCAGGTCATGCCTCGGTCATGGAACCTGAGAGTGATTCATAGATGCCAGGCCCTCTCTTGTTTCATCTATTTATATAATATTTTCCTCATTCATTCCTGCTCCTGTTCCCCTGGCCCCACAGGCAACCCTTCGGATGGGTTTTGTGTGCATGAATTCTTTCCATCTCAAGGGATGGCAGGTTTAAATGCTCATTAAAATTACTACCAAGTGAAGAATGACAGGGAAGGTCTTTAGCTTGCTATGGTAACTGACGGGGGGGGGGGTGTGTCTCTAATTTGTTATGGTAACAGGATCCTGCAGTAAAATAAATAAAAATAAAAAAATGACTTTTTCAATAAACTTATTTTAGAACGGTTTTAGATGTTGGAAAGTTGCAAAGATAGTACACAGAGTCCTTATAACGACCTCCACCAGCCCCCGGCCAGGGTCTCAGGGTCTCAGCCACGTGTCACACCGCCTGATGCACTTGCTACAGTTCACGGCCGATACTGATACATTTTTGTTACCAAAGTCCGCACTTTATTTCCTCAGTTTTATAACCTGTTGCTGCTTTTCTGCGGCAGAATCTCCCACGATGCGCAGGCGCAGACTCCGCAGGCTGCTCGGGGCTCTGACCGCCTCTCAGAGGTCCCCGTGCCGGGCGACCGGGCGGGCGCGGAGTGCGGGGCCGGGACTGTGCAGACGGCCCCTCTGCTGGGATTTGTGTGACGTTCCTCTCGCCGTGAGTCTGGCCCCGGGGGTGCGGGCGAGGAAGACCACGGAGGCAAAGCGCCCTTCTCATCCCTCACGTCGAGTCCTGCTCTCACCATGACTCACGGTGATGCGACCTTAGTCACCTCAGCCAGGTGTCTCCACTTGTCATTCCTTCCCTTCCCTACCCTCCTGTGCTCTTGGGAGAAGGAACGTGCCCGCCCCCGGCGCTGACGGAGCAGGGAGTTACGCCTCTGTAGAGGGTGGAGCAGCCTCTTAAATTACTTGAAATTCTTCTGCACGGGAGATTTGCCTCTTCTCCCCTTTATTTATTTTTCAATCATTTATATATTGGTGTGAAAGAATAAATCTCTATTTTTATCCTCTGTGTTTTAATCCAACGCTGTTATTTATTTTGTTTAAATTATTCCAGCTGTAGCACTTGGGAAGTCTTTCCCTTTGTGTTTCTTTAACACAACCACCTCGTTGTGGGTTGTTTTTGTTGAGTTTTGTTTTCAAGCACTTCTTTACTTTCCAGCTCTATTAGTCAGCTCGGGACACCCCAACAAAGCACCACAGGGCTCCACCTGGGGGGGCGGGTTTCCGCCTGAGCCCCACCGACACCTGGGCCAGCCTGTGTGCAGTAGAAGCATCCCTGACCTCCACCCACCATGTGCCGGCAGCCCCCCATTGTGACTGCGGGACACTGCCCAATGCCTCCTACACCGCCCCCCAGCTGGGGCCCCTGGTCTCCAGCGGCCCGAGCAGCTTTCCGGGTGATGGAAACGCTGCGCCGCGCTGTCTCACCCGGGCGCCCCCAGCCCTTGGAGCATGGCGAGTGGGGCTGAGGAGCTGGGTATTTGGTTTTGTTTGTTTAAGCTAAACAGCCATGACTGGTTAGTGGCTGCCTCAGAGCGAAGGCCTGTCGGCCAGATCCCAGCCTCAGCAGGACCCTGGCCTCGGGCCTCGGGCCTCGGGCTGGCCTTGCCCACCCCGCCTGGCTGCTGTGGGATGTTGCTTACAGGCGTGAAACTCACTTCCGTCCCGTCCTGTGTGGGTTAGGGACGCTTGCCGCTGCCCCTTCAGTCGTGGGATTGGCACAGAGCCCCCAGAGTCCAAAAGGCTGCTCTTCCTGACGCCCACCGGTGCCTCCCTCCGGCCAGAGCCTGAGCCTGGGGTGACCCGACATTTTCCAGATTTTCCTCGGCCAAGGGCTGGGCACTAGCTGTGTGAGACACACACCCGAGCACACGCGCACTCGCAAGCACCTGTGCACACTGTCTCTTACCCTTGGGAGACCCTCCAGGTTCCGCCAGGGGCCCTACCTGCTGGCCGTTGTCCCACAGGCCGAGGTTGTTCCCCCTCCTTTGGATCTTAGAGAAAGGTCACCTTGCCCTGGAAGCTGCCAGAAGCCACACACCGCAGCCTCAGGCCTGCACGGTGCCGCCTGGAGCCTGTCTGTTCCTCCCCAGCCCCTGTCCATGGCTGGCTTGTCCATTCTAAACCCCCCCAGAAAGGAACTCGGCTGGCGAATTTTGTTAAATGGGAATGATCATTCGCGCTGGCCCCGCCCCTGGGCACACAGACTCAGGTCCCAGGGTGAGGGGTGGGCACAGGTCCTGGCTCCAGTGGATCTGAGCAGGGGGTGACTGTCCAGCCTGGGCACCAGCAGCTGCTCTGCTGGCACACGACACCGCTGCCACCTGTGTGAGGCTTAGTTTCCCAAGTAAACAGCAGCGGTGTGGACAGCGAATGTTTACACAGCACCGACCTGTTTCCAAGCCCCGCTCTGAGCCGAGTGTGAGTGACCTATTAGCCGCCTGCACAGCCCTGGGGCTTGACACGCTCATCCCTGTTTCGCAGGTGAGAAAGCAGAGGCACTGGGAAGCTGAGTTACCCGCCTCCCAGCCACGGCCGCTGAAGGCGGTGGTTGTGCCACTCCTGTGCAGACATGTCTGTTGTGGGCGCACCACGGGCACCAGAGCAGTGTCCTTCGCTGAGGACGGGAGGCAGAGGGGGCTTCGCTGAGTAAAGGTGGGGGACAGACGCCTCACCCGAGGAAGGGGCGGCCGGGGCAGTGGCCTGGGCAGACCCGCCACTGCACTCGGGAACTGCAGTCATTCCCGTGGGAGGTGGGGCCCTGCGGGACCCCAGCCCGGAATCTGGGGTCAGTCTCCAGGGGTGCTCTGTGGGTTTTTAAAAATTTTTTAAACACACATTTCAGTTGTTTCTTAAAGATTTTACTTGTTTATTTTTAGAGAAAGGGGAAGGGAGGGAGAAAGAGAGGGAGAGATACGTCGATGTGTGATAGGTACATCCATTGGTTACCTCTCGCAGGCCCCGCCTGGGGACCTGGCCTGCAACCCAGGCCTGTGCCCTGACTGGGAGCTGAAGAGGTGACCCTCTGGTGAGCCGGCCGGTGCTCATCCACTGGGCCACGCCAGCAGGGGCTCATTGGTTGGTTCCTGCATATGCCTTGACCGCAGGTGGAACCAGCAACCTTGGCGCCTCCCCATGCTGCCCTGGCCAAATGAGCTGCCCAGCCAGGGCCTACGGTTTTTTTAAATGGAGTAAAATTCCTGTGACATAAAATTCACCATTTTAACCGTCAAGCAATTTTTTTAGTCCTCACCCGAGGATAACATTCCCCGCCCTCCCCACCCCCTGCTTTTAGAGAAAGAGGAAGGGAGAAAGGAAAACCTCCATGCAAGAGAGACGCATCCGTTGGTCGCCCAGATCAGGGCTGGATGCGCTTGGGCCAGAACTGAGGACCGACCCGCAGCTTAGGTGTTGCCCGACCGGGAGTGGAACCCGCAGCCTTTCAGTTATGAGACGACGCTCCGGCCGACCGAGCCACGCGGGCCAGGGCTGCTGCAAAGTGCACGGTTCGGTGGCTTCTGTGCATTCCTGGTGCTGTACAACCATGACTTTTACCGAGTTCTGAAAAGTTTCCGTGGCCCCGGAAGAGGAGCGCCCGCGCCCACCCGCTGTCCCTCCGCAGCCCCTCACCAGCTCCTAATCTGCTTTCCGTCTCTGTGGATGTGCCTGTTCTGGGCGCTTCCCAGGCCGAGAATCATACAGTAGGGGGGCCCTTCGTGTCTGGCTTCTTTAGCGTTTTCGAGGCTCAGTCACGTGGCAGCTCCGGTGCTTGATTCCTTTATGGCTGGGTAATAATTACTCCACTGTATGGACTGGCCGTACTTGCATTATCCACTCACCCATTACGGAGACTGGGGTTGCTTGGACTTTTGGCTGTCGTAATACGATTACATATAATAGGCAATAAAACGCCGTTCTGAACACGGTGATTCGGTCTCCAGAGGGATGGGAGCCCGGCAGTTCTGGCCTCGCCCTTTGAAACCGTGGTAGCTGCACCTTCACCCTCCAGGTCTGACACGTGCCTTTCCTCCGCCCCAGGTTTGAGTGTGCAGGACATGGGGGGGGGTCGGCACCAGGCCGGGGTGCACCCCTGCGGCCCCCGTGGCCCGGCCTGTGTCACTCTCTCCGGGCGTTGGCCCGGGACGAGAGGCCCTCCTCCTGCGGAGTCCGAGGGCGCGGGTCCCGGGAGCCTGAGGGGCGGGCTCGGTCCCCTCTCCCTCTCCGGGAAAGCGCGATGCCTGCAGGCCTGTCCCGGGTCTGCCGCCCGGAGCCGCCGGCCACGCCGGGGCAAGCGTAGAGCCTGCACGCTGGAAGGGCCGGGCGGGGGCGACGAAAGGAGGGGGCTGGCCAGGGGTCTAGGGGTCGCGCGAGGACACCGGAGTGCGCTCGCCCCGCCCCTCCCCGCCTTTGGGGCAGCGCGGCCCCGCCCCTGAAGCAGCGCGGCCCCGCCCCCCGGGTTGCTAGGGGAAGTGACGTCACAGCGCGATGGCGGCGGCTCCTTCAGGCAGCTGAAGGGGGAATTAGGCCCGGAAGATCCGAGTCCATCCGCGGCGGGGAGAGGGCGAGCGGGGCCGTCTCGGGCCGGAGCAGGGGCGGCGGCGCTCGGACTGTCCCATCCGCCCCGTATTGTGGCGCTGGGCGCGGCGGGGCGGCCGGAAAGCGATGGTGAAAGCGGGGCCGTGAGGGGGGCGGAGCCGGCAGCCGGACCCGCAGTAGCGGCAGCAGCGGCGCCGCCTCCCCGAGCTCAGACCCAGGAAGCGGCCGGGAGGGCAGGAGCGAGCCGGGCCCGTCGCCGCCGCCATGGAGCTCAGAGTCGGGAACAGGTACCGGCTGGGCCGGAAGATCGGCAGCGGCTCTTTCGGAGACATCTATCTCGGTGAGGCGTCCGTCCCCCGGGCTCGGGGCCGCCCCCGACCGGAGTTCGCCCGGCCCCGACGCGGGGACCCGGCCCGGGTCGACCCCCGGGACATTCCGCTCCCCGCAATTTCCCCCCGGGACTCCGCTCCGGCTGCCGGCCCCGCAGCTACTAGACAGGAACTTGCGCTCCTTCCGGGTCGGGCCGCGCCGCCGCCCCCGGGGGCACCTGCCCAACGTGTGCCCGGGGTGGCCGGGGTCGGCCCGAGACCCCGCTGCCCGCGCCGGCGCCCCGCAGACGGACAAAGGCGGCGGGCGGCGCGCGGCCCCGCGTCCTGCGCACGTGCGGCCGGCCGGGAACGCCCGGGCCGGCCGGAGGCGCCCGCGGCCCCCGCTGCCCTTGACGGCGAGGCCCGGGGGCCGGGCCGGGCAGCCCGGGCCCGGGCGCGCGGGGGCCGAGGACGTGTTGCGCATCCGGGTTCCGCGCCGGGGGCCTGGACTCGGAGCGCCGTTGGGGCGCGCAGACCGGCCGCAGACCGGCCGCGGTGGACGGAGGCGAGGGGCCGCGCTGTCCGCGCGAGCTCGTCCCTGTGGCTGCGGTGAGGCTTCGGGGTAGAGCTGGAAAGTGCGGGCGGCGGGAATGTTCTGGACTGTTCCGATTCACGGGGAAAGCGCACGCACGGGCGCAGGTGTGATGCCAGGCTGGCTGGCACCTCAACGCCGGGCGTTCAGAAAGGCTGCCTTTCTCGGGGATTGTGTGCGAGCCCCCCCCGGGGGGGGACCGTCCAGCTGGCCCGCGGGGTGGCTGCAGAGGGACTGCTGTTGCGCAAGTTTGGGGGTGAACTTGCCCTGCGGTTGGGTTTTGTTGGCTGGTGTACCTGCCCGGAGGGTCAGGACCGGCCGGGGGCGGGCAGCCCGCCGCTGGGCGCGCCTTGCGGACGGCGGGGCGTGTGCTCCGCCCCCTCCTGTCACCTGGGGAGCGGGCCTCGCCCGGGTGGGAGTCCACAGCTGCTTTGGGGGCCTCCTTCCTGACCCTGCAGGGCGGCCCCGTCCCACGCCACGCTGTTGCCTTTGACCCCGTGCTTCCGCCTGCCATCCTGCTGAGTAAAACACACTTTGGAGACGTTCGGATTTTACTGTTTAAATATTTATGTTCAGCAGTTAGCGGCCGCATTCTCAGGACCGTTTTGGGAGGCAGAGTGCTGCGTGAATGCGAGCTGTTCGCCTTATTTATAGAACAGTGGGGTTTTGGCAGAAGTTTTAACCTGGGACCTAGGAGGTGGACTGAAAAGCCAACCCATTAGCGACCCTTACGCAGGCACCAAAAGTAGGGAGTTTGAAATTCTGCGTGCCCGCGGCTGAGACTGTGCCAGTGCCGGGTTCAGGGGTCGCATGGTGAGCTCATGCTGTGGGAAGCGGGAGCTCTGTGGGGACCCTGTTTGCTTATTCTCCAGTCTTTGGGCCTCAGCTCCTGCCGGGTGCACAGGTGCAGATGGGGCAGGCGGGCCTCCGCGTGTGTACGCTGGGGGGTGGACCGAGGCTCCACGCTGTGGAACCCCACACGGGGCGCCCGTTGGGACGGGATCCGCAGGGCCTCCTCCGCGGCGTTGGCTCGGCGGCCTGCTGGCTGGAGCCAGCTCTGGCTGGAAGGGCGGGCCTGCACGTGCTGACCATCCGCTGTGGTTCAGGGTCAGAGGTGAGGCCCGAGGAGCGTGGGGTGCACTGCGTCGCCCGCAGGGCAGTTGTGCGGGGCCCTTTTCTGTTTGTGAGGGCCACCGATGAGGCGTTACCTAAGAGGTCGGGGCTTCATCTCGAGAGTCAGTGTGGCCTGTCGTTCTGTGCATTGCTTTGCAGTTGCTCGTGACTCCTCCAGGGAGTCACCCTGTTTTGAGCGGCGTCTGGGGTCATGGATGTCCACCCGGGACCCTCTGTGGTTCCACACATTTGAAGCTGGGAGGAGGGCAAGGCCGTCCTCAGCGTGGAGAGGGCCTTGTGTACCAGGAAGGCCCAGGGTTGGCCTGTTTTCCCAGCGGCCTGCTGCGCCGACACGGTCCTGTGGCACTGTGCCCTGCCCAAAATTGCAGCGTCGAAGAGGGTGGTCTCTTGGGGGTGTTTCTTCATTGCCTGGGCTTCAGAAAGTATATGTGCTGGACTTGGGCCGCCACAGACCCCAAAACGTGTGGCTTTGATCCTAAGTCTGCCTCCCCTAAGCTTGCCAGGTCCCGAAGGCCCTGGCCAGCCGGGAGGGCCTTGGCGCTCACAGACCCTCGCAGCCATGCACACTCAGCAGGAGGCCGCCATACCTGATGCAGGGGGAGGCGAGCCCTGTCCCTCCTGGGCCGCCCTCAGCTTCAGCTCCCACATCCTTCGGCCCTTGGTGGGCTGGAGGTGACGTGACGTTTTTTGGCTTTGCTGGCAGGGCGCCTCTCACGTGTAGATAGCGTTTGAAACGGGCAGAGCCAGTGTGCTTTGCGTAGACCTCGTGTGCCCAGGGGCCCCCGGCTGCGTGGTGGTGCCATGGTCGGCACACGTGCTGCTCGGAAAGCTCAGCCGTGTCCCCAGAGCCCCTGCGGGCGCCCAGCCCCGGGGGGCAGCGTGAGCCCCATTCTCGTGGGGCTCTGTTCTCCTCCGTGTCTGTCTCCTGGAGGCTGGCAGCCGGGGCCTGGGACCGCCCCCGTTCCAGGTGTCAGCATGGAGGTTCTCGTCCTGCCAGCTGCTGGCTTTGGTACCGGACCATCACGTGATCAGAAGACTCAATAACATGCACAAACACCCTGTTCGGGCGCTGGAGTTTAGGAACCTCTTTGTGTCGGATTTCCCTGCCTCCCCTCGCCGACTTTGACGCCCCTGTGGCGCGCGCAGGAAGGGCTGGAAGCGCTGGCTGGCCGGCCGGTCGGCGGGGAGAACAGCCGCTCACCCTCATGCAGCATCCGCCGTCACCTGCGTCCCCGAGGGTGATGGCGTGAGTGCTCCGCGAGAGGTCACGGCGCTGCCTCCGCTGCCCTGCAGCAGTCCCCTGTGCGTGGCCTTCGCCCTGCTGTGCCCGAGGCCTCTCCCTGTTTCTTCGTGGATGTCGCTCCTCGGGGGCAGTTACCGCCCCGTCCCAGGACTGGCGTTGGTTCACTTAGGTTACCGTCTGCCTTGTCTGCTCAGCTTCAGGGACTCAAGTTTTGTTTCCCTAGAACAGCATTGGCCTGTGTCTGCACACAGGTGTCCGTCACCTCCTGAGGGGCAGGGTTGCAGCCCAGGAGTGGAGGTGGCTGGGGAGCTGCAGAGCCTTCGCGTGAAGAGATGCGGCGCGGGGACGTTCACAGGCCCCCGGGTTTTCACTTCTGAGTCTGGAACCAGAGTGCACTGGTATCTTAAATTCCTGCTTCCATTTAGGAGTAGTTCTAAAAGTTACCTGCTGTGAAGCCCCAGGTTTTGTGATTGCCAGTTTGTTACAGGCTGACACTTCTACAAAATGAGATTAAAACGCTGCAGCAGTGCACGTTGTCGTCAGAGCTCTGTCGCGCTGCCTCCTGCACTGGTGGCAGTTGGAGGACGAGGCTTGGGGCAGCACGGCCGACCTGGGGCCTCCTTCCTGCCCGGCGGCCTCTGACGTCCGGGTTGTCTCTGTGGCGCGCGCAGACCTGGGCCCTGCCGCCCAGCATCGCCCCCAGCGGCGCGGCCCTTCTCTCTGAGCCACTCCGGGGGGGGCGACCTCCAAGCCCCAGGTGCAGGTGGAGTCCGGGGAGGGGGCCCCACGATGGGAGGAGGGGTCCGGTGTGCCCTGAGCTGCCCCGGTCGTGTGTCCGCAGACCGCCGTGGTGCAGGGCTGGCGCTCTGTGTTTGCTTTGTCAGCCCAGCGAGTGGAGCTGGTGGTGCTCCCACCTTCTGAAAGGCGCGGGCCTGGTCGGTCGCCAGCCAGGGAGGCCTGCGCCGTCTGTCTGGGCAAGGCCTGCGTCCTGGCTGGGCGGCAGCGACAAGCCTGTGGGGTGCTGATGTCACTGGAGAGATGAGTCACCCGCTCCTCCTGGGCCGGCGCGTTCAGGTCAGAGTTCCAGGTCCTCACAGGAACTCTGAGTTCATTTTTCTTCCGCACAGTAAATTTTGTGGTGAAGTCATTTCTCTGGTAATTGGGTAGATTGTGCCAACTGCAGGCAGGTGTGTCTGCCTCTTGGTGCCCGAGAGTCTTTGCGATGGGAGTGAAGCCCTCAGACCCGGACGCCGCTGCGAGGTCAGACGGTGGGCGCTCCCTCTGCGCCCGGCACGTGGGTGATTGCACCCCATGCAGCCACGCAAGGCGATCGCGGTCTTTGGGGTCCTTGGGCGTTTCCTGGGTGTCAGTGTCAGCAGGTGGCACTGCCGCAGGTGGGTCGCTGTTGCGGTGCTTGCTGACTGTGCCTGCCTTTCATCTGGGAGTCTCAGCAGGCTTTGTCACCTCCACTCTGCTTGTCCCCACAGTTCCCTGAGGAAACACTGCTGGTCTCCCAGTTACACAGAGACGGCGCGAGAGACCGAGGCACCAAGGACGGGGGAGGGAGCGCCCCGGGCTCTGTCTGGGCTGCTGGAGCCGCCAGTGGCACTTCTGTCACAGCCGCAGTCCTGGGGCGGTCACAGTGTTTGGTGCTCGGCGGGCGCCTGCGGGGAAAGCCAGAGGCAGGACGGAGCGCTGTCCGTGCGTCTCTGTAGTTGAAGCTGCTCGGGTATGGCCAGACAGGGACTCTGGCGTGTGCTGTGGAGGGTGGTGGCTGTCACGTTTGTAGGTCTTATGGGGGAAACAGAGATAACGTGTTTATAAATAAAAGGTCCTAATTTTACCTTTAAACTCATGGGCTGATAATTGGGGTGTAATAGCAAACGTATTACGAGTTTTCGCACAAAACTAACGAGGCGTGTGACAGGTGCCTGTTGTGCAGGTGGAGTCCACCCTCCTGGTCTGGTGTGACTAGGAAATGCAAAGTGATGTCCTGTTGCTGAGCGCCCCCCCCCCCCCCCCGCCCGCTAGCAGTGTCCCTTGGCCTAACCTGTGGTGGCCGCGGGCCAGCGATGAGCGTCGCGGCCCCGGAGCTGAGCCCACCTTCTCTGGTTCAGGTGTCCGGGGTAAGCGACCGGGTCCCTGGGCTGGGTGGCCTGAGGCCTTGTGTTTATCCTGGCAGCATTGGGGGACACAGGAGCACACAGGGTCACCCTGGGGCTGACCAATAGGGTGATCAGAAAGTTGGGAGTAGGAACCATGGGGGGCTGCGCAGAGACTCCACCGGCCTTCTCTGGGTCCCCTTGCGCTGCCAGCTGCTTGGGCTCCTGCAGAGGCGGGTGATGCCCACCGAATGTGGCTTCCCGACAACATGTCAAATTCCCCGCCTGAGAAGGGGACAGAAGGATAATTGTCCACGGGATTCGTGGACCACTGGCACCCTCTCTTGGCCGGGAGAGGAGTGTGACTGTCCCCTGGTCCTGGGAAGAGCGGGGCGTGCTTGTGTCCTGGCGTGTTGTGACTGTGGGTGGGGTAGTGGGCCCCAGGTATTAATGCTGTGCTTCTCTTTCTCTGCAAGGTACGGACATTGTTGCAGGAGAAGAAGTTGCCATCAAGCTTGAATGTGTCAAAACCAAACACCCTCAGCTCCACATTGAGAGCAAAATCTACAAAATGATGCAGGGAGGAGGTATGGCCTTTACCTGTTAAAAAAGACAACTGGGGGTGTTTGGTGGGGGGCTTGCATCCTGAATCAAAGTCTCTGGTTTGTTTCGGGAAAGGGAGTAAAATGCTCACACCCTGGACCCAGCCGGGTGGTCCTTTCAGATTCTGACCGATGGGCCTGCAGAAGGCCCCGTTCAACAGGAAGACCGAGGCTCCTGCTTTGGGCTCGGATGCTCCAGCACTGTTGGTGCCATGTGTGTTCCCGCCCAGTCCCTGCGGTGCTCACGGCTTTGGGGGTGGGGGTGCCTTCAGACTTCTCTGAGGGAAACTACTACGGCTTCTTGCAGCGCGACTACTGTCCCAGTTCTGTCCCCAAGTCCCCCCTTGGGCCTCAGGGTGCCTGATGTCAGAGGGCGCTCATTGTGATCTCAGAATCTAACTTGTAGACTTCCCTGGACTTTAAGATCGTCTCACTAATGGGGGGGGGGGGTTTGGGGAGGAACTCAGTTTCAGAGATGCTGCGGCAAGTCAAGGGCATGAGCGAGGCTCCGGGGGCAGGGCCCCAGGGCCTCGGCCTGCAGCTCCGCCGGGTTTGGTCCGCTGCGGGGCACCAGTGCCAGGCAGCGCGCCTAGCACGTGTGTCTCTGTGGAGTGATGACCGAGAGCAGCACGGCTGGTCCTGGGGACCCTGTACGGGGGTGTCTGTGCGTCCCAGCCTGTGTTCCGTGGGACCAGAGAGGCCCTCAGCTGGCACGCGGATGAAAACTGTCCGGCCCTTGTTGTCTCAGGGAGAGGCCAGCCGAGGACCCAGCCAGGGGGCTTGCCCTTTGGCGGCCTCAGCAGAAGGCGGCTTTGGAAGTGGTGACAAATAGAACAAGGTGACTCCGGACGTGGCCTTTACGGTGGGAAGGAGCCTGGTGCTGGGGGTGGCATAAAACCTCCCAACTGAGAAGTCTGGTGGGCTTTCAAGGACCGGCACGTCTGGGCCCCCCGCCCCTGGTTGCGGGGCCCCCTACACACGGCGCAGTGCGGCACCCCCTCCCAGGTCAGGAGGGTCAGAACTGTCTGCGCCCGTGGCCGACACAACGTCCGTGACGTTGCGGTGGGAGGCGCGGTGCCGCCTCCTGGTCTTCCTGCGACTCTGCTGTTCCCCACACAGATGGGGTCCCCCAGTTCAAGATGCACACTTGGGGCTGTCCAGGTGCGGGGTGTGTTGTAGGGACGCTGCTGCATCCATCCCAAGCCACCGGGTGTGAGGCGTGTTGTAGAGAATGTTTGTGCCTGGAAGCGCTGAGCATACCCTTCTGGGAGGTTCTGGGAACTTGTCAACCAAGACCACACTGGGCCCGGCAGGGCGGAGGGAGGAGCCCACTCTGCCCAGAGAGCAGGGGGTCTGCCGCTGAGCAGCCTTCTGCAAGGCATCTCCTGCGGGTGCTGAAGGCCGCTTTGTCACTGCTGGGGACAGCAAGCACCCTGTGGCTCTTCCTCTGCAAAGTTTCGGGCCTCCTTGCAGCTGGTGGACGCAGGTGGCTTTTACGACAGCGTTGTCTGGGTCGCTGCTTGGGCGGCGCGCCTGGCCGGGGGGGGCTGCCCCCCGTTGGTCTGAGGGGGAGTCGGGTGAACACGTAAACGCACGTCAGTGTCGAGCGTTGGTGGAAGTGGGGTTTTGTTTGTTTTTTTTTGTTTTTTTTTTTGTAAAAACTATTGATTTTAGAGAAATATTTAATTGGTTTGTTGTTCCACTTATGCATTCATTGGTTGGTTCTTGTACGTGTCCTGACCAGGGATTGAGCTACAGCCTTGGGTCAATCTGAGCCACCCATCCAGGGCGGTAGGAGTCAGTTTTTAGGACAGACCTGGTCCAAAAAAAAAAAAAAAAAAAATAGGGAACATAGGGAACAAGGACAAAATGAAGAAAAGGTGGCTTGTGACCCCCTCGGGCAAGCCTGGGTTTCAAGTCGTTTGACCGATGTGAACCTTTTGTCAAAGATGCTCTGGCGATTCTCCCAGTAGAAAAAGAAGTTTGGAAACAGCACAACCCTAAAAGAACATGGAGAAAACAACATGTTATAGTTGCACCAGCCAGGCAGCCTAGTGGTCGGTCACCACATCAGTGACGTGAAGTCCTAAGGCCTCAACAGTGGAGGCGTCAGTGGGGGCAACGGGGACGCAGCATCATACACGCCGCCCTTTCTGACACACGAACCCCCAGCGTGCAAACCGAGCCCTTTCCTCCGTAGCCGCCGTGGGCGCCTCAGAGGAAGCCTCGCTTGGGCTCTCCTGGCCCTGAGGTCGGGCCGCCCGGCGTTGTGGAAGGGTAAGGGTTTGCGTCCTCGCTTCGTGCAGCCTAGAGCCACGCTGACGGCTTGGGGTGGGCACAGGGGTGTCCTTAAAGCGTGTCCTGGCCATCTCGTGTTTTTGCAAACACACACACAAACCCTGTTGCGCTTGGAGGTCCGGCCCCGTCCTGCGCAGGGTCTGTGGGCGAAGCGGGCCTGTGCCCTGGGGTTGGAGGTGCAGCAGGAGCCTCTCCACCCTCCCCTGGCCTCTCCCAGTCCTGGTTCACTGAAGGCGCAGGGCTTTCCGGAGGACACTGGCCAAGAAGCCTGCTCTGCTGTTTGGCGGCGTGAGGTGGATGGGTGGGCTGTGCGTTCTGATAGGTGGTCTCCATGGTGACAGAACAACGTGTTCTGCTCTGCAGGCCCCAGCGGCTGCCGACTCAGCCCTGCCATTGCTCACAGGCCTGAGAACAAGCAGCACAGGAACACTGCGCCCGAATGTTCACATCAGGGAAAAAGTTAAAATGCACCGGACGCGTCATTCACACACACCTCGTGCCGCTGGCCTGGGAGCGTGGGGCCGGGGAGCAGTTCCCTGGTGAGCAGCGCCTGGAGCGGGGCGCCTCTGACCCGCCGTCCGGGACGGTCCGGCGCCTGACCCCGAGAGGGGGCTCCGAGGGGCCCCGCCTTGCCCGGGACAGCCCCTCCCGGGCAGCAGGGCAGGGCTGGGCAGGGGGCGAGCCGCTCTCCAGCCTCGTCCTCTCGCGTGGGCACGGGAAAGGCCCCGGTTCTGCATCCACGCTGTTCTTCCTTGGCTGCTGTAGGTCGCAGCCATCCCAGCCTCCCGGTTGCTCTCCCCTCCCCTGCCCGTCCCGCGGCTCCCACGGTCGGTCCCCACCCTGTCGTCCGTGGGCCCTTTGTTCGCGTTCCTCCACGAGACCCTTCCCCTTCTTTCCCGCTGCCGCCCTCCCCTCTGGTTCTGTTTCCGCTCATTTGTTTTGTGCATTAGGTTCCACTTGTAGGTGAGATCGCACATATTTGTCTTTTGCCGCCTGGCTCAGTTCACTGAACACAATGCCCTCCAGTTCTGTCCGTGCTGTCGCGAAGGGCGGGAGTTCTCTCTGCTGCGTAGTATTCCATTGTGTAAATGTGCCGCAGGTTTTAGATCCACTCATTCACTGGTGGGCACTTAGGCTGTTTGCAGCACTTGGCTGTTGTAAGTAGCGCTGCTATGAACATGGGGATGTGTAGGTTCTTTTGAACTGGTGTTTCAAGATTCTTGGGATACAGTCCCCACAGTGGGACCGCTGCATCGGAAGGCAGGTCTGTTTGTCGTGTTTTGAGGAAATTCCGTGCTGCTCCCCGCAGTGGCTGCCCGGCTGCGCCCGCCAGCACTGCACCGCGGCCCCCTTTCTCCGCACCCTGCCAGCACTCGTGGGGTGCTGGTTTGGTAACGGGGGGCGGCATCTCGTTTGTGGCTTTAACTCGCACCTCTGCGACAGCTCGTGACTCAGGGCGTCTTCCCTCTGTCTCTGGGCCCTCGGTTTGTCCTCCCTGCAGTCTGTTCAGGTCCTTTGCCCATTTTTTAAATTGGATTGTTTGTCTTCCTGGAGTGGAGTCCTGTGAGCTCTTTATACGTTTTGGAGATCAGACGTGTCCGAGGCGTCAGTGGCAGATACGTTTTCCATACAGAGGTTCCCGTTTCATTCGCTGTTTTCTTTGGCCGTGCAGCACCCTTTGATTCCATGAAGTCCCGTTTGTTTAGGCTTTCCCTTGTGTGTCCCAGGTCCTGGGCTGGCCATCGGCCACAATAGTGCTGCGAGGGAGAGCTGAATTTTACTGCCTGTGTTTTCCTCTAGGGCTTGCATGGAGTCATGTTTTATATTCAAGTCTTCCATTTTATGCTTATGCTGCCTTGGTCGAATATTAATTGGTAAGGGAGACTTGGGTTTATTTCCAGGCTCCCTATTCTGTTCCGCATGTGTCTGTTCTCATGCCACTACCAGACTGTTTTCATTGCAGTGGCCTTGTGATATAGTTTCACATCAGGTATTGTGATTCCTCCTACTCACGTTCCTCTTTAAAAGGAAAACAATTTCTGGCCGGTGGGGCTCAGTGGATTGAGTGTCAGCCTGCAAACCACAGGGTCTCTGGTTCGATTCCCAGTCAGGCGTCTGCGTGGGTTGCAGGCCAGGTCCCCAGGGGGTGGTGCACGAGAGGCAACCACACATGGATGTTTCTCTCTCCTTTTTTCCTAAAAATAAATAAAACCTAGAAAAAGAAAGGAAATCAGCTTAAAAAAAAATAAAAAACAATCTATCCAAGCCACTTTCAAAAACCGGAGATTCTGGGTGTGGAGAGCCCAAAACAGCGTGCAGGTCTGGGGGCTCCCCGAGGCCCTCAGGTGTGCTTGCACGGAAAGCGGTTGGCCTGCCTCTGCCTCCCCTCCGGGGGGCGGGGGCGGGGGATGCCGGGGGCTGGGCTGGCGGCAGTGTCCGCCCTTCCTCTCTCTTTACGCACCCCTTGGACGCCCATCGCTAGCTGTCGTCGTGGGGTGGGGCTGTGGCCCTCTCCCTCCCCAGAAGCAGGCTGGTGTGGCCTTGCCTGTGAGCTGGGCCGCCGTGTGGCTGGTGCTCTGGCCGAGGCCTGGCCGGGAGGTCTCGACCACCACGGCTGTGGTGCCTGGCTCCCGCCGTCCACCCCTTTGGCACCTTGCTGTCAGGACGGAGCACCCGCCAGGGCCCGAGCCGGAGAGACCCCCGGCCCTTGGTGGGTTTCCGAAAGCTCAGCCTCCCTGCCTCGCACTCTGTGAACAGCCTCCTCGGGCTCCGAGAGCGCACTGGGGGTTGGGCAGGGCCACCGCGCAGCAGGTGCAGCCGGGAAGCTGGACCCTGTGGTCGCAGTAACCCACGTACACCCGCCAGCCTGCGAAGCCGCTGTGGCCCCCAGCGCCTTGGCACAGCCGCCTGCAAGCTGTTGGGCAGACGCAGACCTCATCTTCTGCCCGGAGTCCCGGGACCCTAGTCCGGTGGCTGCTTGCCCCCAAGAAGTACGGAAACTGAAGTGTCATTCTTAAAGTAGTTTACAATAGTCAAATACAGACCGTAGGTGACTAACAATAAATCTTAGGCCAGGGGAGACCTGCGTGCGGAAGATTTTAAAACTTTATTGGAGGGCACCCTAGATGAGTTTACCAGTAGAGATGTTCCGTGTTCCTCGAGTAGAAGACTTAGTACGTTGTCCGCTCTTCGAAGCTCTTCGGGTCAGTGCGATCCCAGTCCAGACCTAGCACGGCTTTCTTTCCAGTGTGACCAGCAGACTTGAGAACTCAGAGTAGCCAGGAGCGGAGGCGGACTGAAATACTCCTGGAGAAAGGGGGGCATTTGCCCTACAAAGAGCGACTCCAGCATCCGTACAGAGCGGCCGCCCACAGCAGTCTGGATAGTGGATGTCAGTCCCCCAAGGAGCCCTGGCTGCTGAGAGAAGGGACCCATTCCAGGCCAGGGGAGGAGAGGCAAGAAGCGCTCAGAGGCCGGCGGGCATGTGCAGAGGACACAGGGCAAGCTTGGAGGGGCTCTGTTGGCCCCACGTGGGGAGGGGGCGTTCATGAATCCATAACGCTGCGCGCGCGCACTGAGCTCCCCCCGAGAACGCAGTAGGAGCCCTCACGGGGAAAAGGACCTCTTGGTCGGTGGGCTCAGATGGGGACCCTTGGTGCATGCAGACAACTTCAGGGAAACACCACCCTTCAGAGGGTCCGACACCACCCTCGAAGCTGCACCCGGGGCTAAATAGCAGAGGAAAGCACCTCCTGGTGAAGGAGCCTGGCCGATAGCATCTGCGAGGAGATCAGGTCCAGCAAGCAGGCAAGCCCAAGTGGATGGCCGCTGTGCAGAGTGGCCTGGAGTCTGGAAATCTGTGCGGTGAAAGATTCAGTAACCGTCTAGCCAGAACTGTGAGGGCCATCTGTAGCACAGGACCCTAACGTGGCCCCGGGTCGGGGAAGCTGTGAGGGGCGTGCCCGGGACAAGCGGCTGGGGAAGCGCGCAGGCCTGGACCTGTCACCGTGCGGTCTGAACACACGTCAACCGCAGCAGCATTGCTCGCGGAGACGGGAGGTGGGCCTTGGAACAGACCGGAAGGGGCAGAAGCACGCCCCTGTGGGTGCAGGGCGGGGGCCTCGGCGGAAAGGCTTTGTGAGCACCCACTGCGGGCGGACGGCTGGGCGCTCTGCCTCGCCGTACCCAGAGTCCGCCTCGGGGCTGCCTGCTGTGTGGAGAGAGAGACTGCCAAACGGGTTGGTTTTTTTAAATCCGCTTTATTGAGGCGCAGGAAACTGCGTTTGAAGGAAGTGTCCAGCGTGGCAGGCTCTGCCATGGTCACAGCCTCGTGGAACTGTGGCCGTGGTCTGCATGGTTGGCGTACCCGCCTCCCCCAGACGTCCCCACGCTGCTCCCGTGGCGGGTCGCTTGGCATTTTCCGGAATCCGGCCACTGCCGCGTGGCCCGGACAGGCGCGCTGGGCCCGCAGTCGCTTCGCTTGCTCGCAGAGCCGGGCGTTCCCGGAGTCCAGCATTCCAAACGGCCGCGGCCCGCTCTCGCATAGGCCCTGTGTGGGCATTGGTTTCCTCTTCTCTTAGGCAAGCCCCTGGGGGTGTGATGCAGGCAAAATGGGGGGAGGTCTCCTCTCTAAGAAGCTGCCCCCGTCGTGTGGCTCTAGGGGTGGTGTCCTGCAAGGCGTCCATTTCGTGCAGGTCACTGAAGGTACTGGCGTGATGCGGTCTGTAACGTCTCAGCCTTCGCGTATTGTAGGGTCCTGCACGTCACCTTGTTCTTGATACTGGTAGTTTGTGTCCCCTCTCTCTCTTTTCCTTGGGCAGTCTGGTCAGGTGTATCAAAAATTTTCCCAAAGAACAGTCGTTTTCTCAGTTGCTTGTTTTCTATTTCGTTGATTTCTGCTGCGATCTGTTATTTTCTCTGCTTGCTTTGGGTTTAACTTCTTCTTTTTTCCACATGGAATCTGAGACCATGGACCTCGCCTAACGCAGGGGTTCAGCTGCTGTGAACTCCCGAGTGTGGCGGGGCCAGCGTCCCAGAAATCCTGTCGCGTTGGGTTTTCATCTTCATTTAGTTCCAGATGCTCCCGAATCCCCTTTTTGATCTCTCCCTTGGTCTGTGGGGGATCGAAGAGAGTGTGTGCATGTGAAACAGCCGTTTGTTCTCACCAAATGGATGGAGTTTGGAGAGGGCTCGCCCCGGGCAGTCTTGTCTCTGCTCTGCGATGTCGTGGCCTCACCCGAAAGCCCCGGAGGCCGAGGGCTGCACCCGTCTGACGGCCACCGTCCTCTGTCACCCCCACTGCTGCCGCTGACATGTCCGACGTGGGTACCCTGAGCAAGGCCTGTGCCGTGTCGGAGGTGTTACCCTGCTTGCCAGCAACCAGTGAGCAGGCCACGGTGTCAAGGACGCTGGCAAAAGACAGCTCCAGCGAAGGGATAGGAGCTCAGAAGCTGTGGGGAGAGACCGAACGGTGCGACTTCACGCGAGGGCTGCAGGGGCAGCCAGGCGCTTGGGGTCCTTGAAGTGTATCGCTGAGCGTCCAGATGTTTTGGAAGTGCTCAGAGCTCTCCGTTAGCTGTTTCCAATGAGTGGCACTGTCGTCTGAGAATGGACTTGGTCAACTTGAGCCTTCGTGCTCCCTGCGGCTCCTGGTAACTGCGCCGGGCGCAGAGAAGACCCTGCTGTGCGGAGTGATGGGCGTGCCGGCCGGACTGCGGCCTTGTCCCTGGTGCTTGGCCTCCTGTGGTGCCGGGCTCTGTTGTCAGCTGCACGTTTGGAATTACCTTCCCTCGATGAGCCGATGCCGTTTTCCCTGTGAAATGATGCAGCCTGTCTCGCCCCGGTGCTGACGTGCGTCCTGTGCCCTCTGTCCTCGTGTGCGCGCAGCGTGCCTGGGGGGCGCGTGCTCTTCCAGCTCCACTGAGAGAGTGTGCCTCGCTCACTTGGGGCTGTCGGACTGCACTGGGTGCTCAGGCACCCGCATCGCGCTGCGGCGCCAGCTGCCCTGGTGCGGGGTCTGGGCCTCGCTCCTGTTGGTCAGCCTGGGGGAAGCTGGTTCCGTCCCACATCCTTTTGCTCACAGTCACAGGCCCTGGGAAGGACTTCGTGCACTTAGGTTTGATGTACTCGGTGACCGGTGGGATTTGAGCCTGTCGTCTTGCTGCTTGTTTTTGGTCCACCTGTTTCCTTTTCTCTCCTTTTTTGCCGCCTTTTGGATTAACCTAGCACTTCTTTTTAGCGACTTCCCTTACAGTGAGCTGCTCTGTTGGCTTACGAGCCGTCCCTCTGACGCCGGTGGCCGAGGGCGGTTCTCCGTGTGCGTCCCCACCTGCCGCTGTCCCCTCGGCAGTGCTTCCTCCCGCCCCCTGCGCTTCGGGCCATCGTGCCCGCTGTCGTCTGCGGGAGCCGCCTTGTCCGAGGGGTCCAGGGTGTGGCGGTTTCCAGCCTTCCAGCAGTGGACCTGTGACGCTTTACGTCTGCAGGTGTCTTCGTGTGCCTTTGCTGGGGATGTTTTGCAACTCTTCCTTCGTAGGATGCCAGCTTTTTCTGTGCGTGAAGGATGTTCCTCCGTGTGTCCGAGGGGGAGTCCAGTCACCCTGGCCTTTGTTCCTTAGTCTGTGATGTGTCTTTTTTCTCTGCTGCTCTCTAGATGTTCTCCGTCACTGGTGATGAGCGATCTGATTGCTGGGTACTAGTGCGGTGCTCTGTATGGTTCTCGTTCTTGGGGTTCATTGAGCTTTTTGGGTCTGTGGGTTAAGCGTCTCCATCCAGCTGTTCCTTCCGGTGTGACGCCTGTCCTCCTCCCTTCTCTTTCCTGGGGGCTCTGGCTACAGAAGTGCTGGTGGCTTGAAGTTGTCCCATGCTGACTGCAGCTCCGACGGCTCTGTCAGCGGTGGCTGTACGTTACATTCCTTGAAGTTGACAGTGTCAGGTCTGTTGTTAATCCTGCCCTGTGTGTCTTTCGTCTTGCATATCGTAGTGTCTTCGCTAAAAGTCAGGTTTCAGTCGCTCGTCACCTCCCATGCTGTTGGTTCATGGCCTGTGACAGGCGTGCCCCACGAAAGGAGGATGTCGATCACATGGGATCCTGGGCGCTGCTCCCGCCCTTGCCCCTCCTCTGTCCTGCACCTGCCTGTCCACCTGAGCCTTGTCAGAGTCACAGTGCGAGCCCAGGTGTGCCCGGATGTCTGACCCCGGGCGACCTGAGATGCCCATCTGTCTTCCAGTGGGCATCCCCACCATCCGGTGGTGCGGGGCGGAGGGGGACTACAACGTCATGGTGATGGAGCTGCTGGGGCCGAGCCTGGAAGACCTTTTCAACTTCTGCTCGCGGAAGTTCAGTCTCAAGACTGTCCTGCTGCTGGCCGACCAGATGGTGAGAGTTCGTGGTTCGGAGTGATGGGCCTGACTCGAGGCTGCTCCCCGTCCGCCTGTCCCACAGGGAAGGGAGCGGTGGGCGGGCTGGGTTGGGAGAGCCGCTGTGGGTGTGGCACAGCACACCACGTGGGCCTGACCTCGGAGGTGGGCTGCAGAGGGGGCGCTGCCGCCACCGGCCGCGGTCCTTCCCCCGCAGCGCCCGCAGGAGGGGAGTGCCCAGGATGGGGAGCGGGGCCAGGGTCCCATCCAGTGGACGAGCGCCCGCCCTGGCTGAGCGGTGCAGGTGAATGGCTCCGGCAGGGCCCTGGGCGCCAGCGGAAGCCGCCTCCAGGCTGCGGTTGGGTTGACCACGCTCTGCTGCTTGGCTTGCAGATCAGTCGGATCGAATACATTCACTCAAAGAACTTCATCCACCGCGACGTGAAGCCAGATAACTTCCTCATGGGGCTGGGGAAGAAGGGCAACCTGGTTTACATCATAGACTTCGGCCTGGCCAAGAAGTACCGGGACGCCCGGACCCACCAGCACATCCCCTACCGTGAGAACAAAAACCTCACTGGGACGGCGCGGTACGCCTCCATCAACACGCACCTCGGCATTGGTGAGCCCTGTCGCCGGGGGGGTGCTGGTGGGCAGGGGCCGGGAGTGGGCGGCACTTGCGGTGGCAAGATGGAGGCTCGCGGGGGTGCCGGGCGTGCGCAGGACAGCCCTCAGGCAGCCGGGGGGTGGCTGTCCCAGTCCCTGACAGCGGGTCTGGGGCAGCTGCTGGGGGCAGGAAAGAGTCCATGTGTGTTTTCCTGTGGTTTTTGGTGCCACTGGTGTGGGCCAACCTTGGGTCATTTCCCTTCTCTCTCCAGAACAATCTCGAAGGGACGACCTGGAGTCACTGGGCTACGTGCTCATGTACTTCAACCTGGGCTCCCTGCCCTGGCAGGGGCTGAAGGCTGCCACCAAGAGGCAGAAGTACGAGCGCATCAGCGAGAAGAAGATGTCCACGCCCATCGAAGTGCTGTGCAAGGGCTACCCCTGTGAGTGTCCGGGGGCCCGGGTCGGGGAGGTGAACAAGGCGGGCCCCCCGCTCTCCTTTGGCAGCGTCGTGAGCGCTGATACAGGGCGCTTCTCTTGGCTCTGGGGCGGGTGCCCTGGGGAGGCCAGGCCGCTCTGGGATGCTGCCTTTTCTTGGGCTTTTCCCGAAGCCACAATGCCCCGTGGGTGGCCCCCGGGTGGGAACAGGGGCCGGAAACAGTGGTGTCACCTGTTGCCATGCTGGTTCCCAGTCAGGGCTGTTGCCAGTCAACTCAGTTTCTTGTTATTTTACAGCTGAGTTTGCAACATACCTGAACTTCTGCCGTTCCTTGCGTTTTGATGACAAGCCCGACTACTCGTACCTGAGGCAGCTCTTCAGGAACCTGTTCCATCGCCAGGGCTTCTCCTACGACTATGTGTTCGACTGGAACATGCTCAAGTTCGTAAGTGGCATCGCCAGCCTGCCGACCTCTCAGCACGGCTGGGAGACGGCCCGTCAAGCAGCAGGCCGCCGGCCGGTGGGGTCTCACCCTGTGTGAGAGGCGAGCTGTTCGCGGTCCAAGGCCAGGGGGCCCGCTCGCTGCGCTGGGAGCCGGGCGCTGCTGCGTGGCTGGGCCCATGCAGTCTGCCCGAGGGCGAGCAGCTGCGAGAAGCAGAGAAGCTGCCAAGGGGCAGCAGGGGCAGGCAGGTCAGGCGTGGGGTGTCCACAGGTGCACAGTACCCAGAACCAGGGCTCCCACTTGAACGCTGAGTCTCCTCCCATTGGGAGGTCATTTCATTGATAGGACCTAGATCAGCCTAGAGTGTCGTGGCGCTGGACCCCCATGGTGAGCAGCCTGGGGAGGCCCTGGGTGTTGAGTCTTATCTTGGCCCTGTTATTCAGTTTCTTTATCTTTTATTTATTTTAAGACAGAAGGGAGGGAGAGAGGGAGAGAAACATCCATGTGTGGTGGTTGCCTCTCATGCGCCCCCTCCTGGGGACCTGGCCCACATCCCAGGCCGGGGCCCTGACTGGGACTCAAACCAGTGACCCTTTGGTTTGCAGGCCAGCACTCAATCCACTGAACCCCACCAGCCAGGGCTCGGTTTGTTTATTAATTGCTCATAAAAGTGCTGCAGGGGTGTGGGGGTCAGAGCGTAAACTTTAATTTGTTCTCCCTGAGACAGGCCGCCCATCTGCGTCGGCTCTGGGAGTTCCGTTACTTAACTCTTCCAGACAGCACGGCCAGAAGTCCAGGTGTTCCTCTTCCGTTAAAAATTTGCTCTATTTAGTCATGAGTTTTAAAACAAAGGGGAACTTTTCCAGGGTGACAAACTCTGAGAAACAGAACCCCTTCTTCAGAGGGTGCAAAACAGGAAGCCTGACCCCCACCTCGGGGCCGCGGCGCTGCCGGCAGAGCCAGCCTGACCCAGCCCAGCCCGCGCTGCCCTCGGAGAGCCAGGCGCTGGGAGGGGGCGCTGCGGGGGGGCAGAGTCTGTACGTCCGGGCGGACCCCGTCAGGGCCACTTGAAGCCCCCCTGTTCTGAAGGTTCCTTTCAGGGCTCAGCACACCTTCCCTGTGAGGGGCGCGTGGGGAACGAGTTCAGTGTCGCAGTCCTGTGCCTGCCGCAGCCCCCTCGGTGGCAGCCGGACAGCGCCGTGGGCGGCGCCGGTAAACCGCGGGCAGGGGTCGGCGTGTCTGGGTTCGGCCCCCGGGCTGCCGTTTGCAGGCTCTCCCGGTGGCGCTGGGGCTGGTGTGTGAGCGCGTCCGGCTGTCCCGCGTGACAGGCGGCGCCTGCAGCGGCTCGTTGCTCACGGGCAGCAGAGCTGCCTGCTGGTGCCACAGTCCACCGCCTCGGCTCCTCGCGCTGTGTGCGCTGGCCTCGCGTGCGTCCGGGGCCTGGGGTCTGCTTGAGTGGACCCCTCAGCCAGCCAAGTGCCGCCCCTCACGCTTGCCCCTCAGATACTCCCCCAGCTGTCATGACAGCTCCCTGTCCCTGTCCCTGCTGAGTGTTGCCAGAGGGCCCCGCAGCGGGCTGGGTGTTTGCGGCTGAGGAGGTGCTGTGGCTGTGGGCGGGGTTTCCTCCTCTGCGCTGGGAAAACAGGAAGCCCAGCTGCTCGCTCCCCACTCTCAGGCCTTGGGGGGCTGTGTGTTCTCTTGAAGGGAGAAGCATCCCGTTGACTTGGATGCTTCACAGCGGACTTGTCCCAAATATGCTTGGTGCTCTCTCAGGTTTCAGGCGACAGCCGGGGCCTTGGGGTGTTCACCAGACCCCGTTCATCCCCCTCTGCTTGCCTTCCCAGGGTGCCAGCCGGGCAGCGGACGACGCTGAGCGGGAACGCCGGGACCGTGAGGACCGACTGAGACACTCCCGAAACCCGGCCACCCGCGGGCTCCCGTCCACGGCCTCAGGCCGGCTGAGGGGGACACAAGAAGTGGCTGCTCCCACCCCACTCACCCCTACCTCACACACTGGTGAGTGGTCGTGGGGCCGACCGCTCACGCCATGTGTCCCCCGCCAGCCGCCCCAGCAGGCAGTGGCGTTCTGTTTGCATGTGACCCCAGGGGCAGCCAGCTCTGAGCGGAGACCGGGGGCGGGGGGCCTGTGCACCCCCCTTCCAGCTGTGTTCACTCCCGAGCGGGGACAGGCCGGCAAACACATCAGGCGGCGCCTTGGGGACACCCGCCTCATGGCCTCTCCCCTCCTCCTGACATGCGCGCCCCCGCCAGCCCGCCATACCCACCCCCGCCCCACCCGACGGCACTGTGAGCAGAGCCCCCCGTGCCGGCCTCCCCCTCGGCGGGCCCTGACCACGGGGGTGTGGGAGCAGGGCAGCCGGCTGGGCGCCCTCCGGGCTGTGGCCGCCCGGCGAGTCCAGTGGGGTGGGACGCAGGGAGGTGCAGGCTGCGGGGGGCTGCCGCGTGCCGCGTGCCGAGAACAGAGCCCTCGCGGGGAGCGTGCGGCCTCACCCCCGTGCCCCCTCTCCTGCAGCTAACACCTCCCCTCGGCCCGTGTCTGGCGTGGAGAGAGAGCGGAAAGTGAGCATGCGGCTGCACCGCGGCGCCCCTGTCAACATCTCCTCCTCAGACCTCACGGGCCGGCAAGATACCTCCCGCATGTCCACCTCACAGGTACGCGCGCCCAGCTCGCCGGGGCCGGACGCTGGCCGCAGACTTCTGCGTTGGGCCTAGGGCTCCGGGCGTAGCGGGGTGAGGGTGTGAAGGGCTCGAACCGATGCGGGATGCGGTCCCCGGCTGCCTGTGCGTCCCCGTGATCGAGAGCCTCCGGGAGCAGCTCTGTGGGTGTGGGGCTCACCGCCCCTCTGCCTCACACGGGGACAGGGACAAGGACAGGGACCGGGGCCATGTCCCTGCTGCTGCCTGGCCCCAGCTGGCCTCGGAGGCCGGCACCCCCGGGCAGGTGCTCGCCACGCGGCACCCGGCGGCTCCAGGCGTTGGCCGTGGGCACCCCAGCCTGGACCCTTTCCTCGCCCTCTGCCGGGCAGAGCCTGGGTGCGGACAGGGGACGCTGCCGGTGGTCGGTGGTGTGGTGTCGGAGGGACGGGTCTGGGGGGCCTGGTAATGGGCTGTGGGGGAGGGCTCCCGCCTTGACGTCCCTGTGCGTGCGTCCCCCAGAGGCCTGCCACGCCTGTCTGTCACGCGGCCCACGCCCACGCCCACGCCCCCTCCGCCAGGGCCCCCGCGCTGTCCCCCTGCCTCGCAGCTGTCCCCTCAGCGCGGCAGCTCTTCCTCCAGCGCTTCCAGGGCCCCGCCCGTGGCGGGCAGTTCGGTCGGGAGCCTGCTCCCACGGCTGCTCCGTGGGGTGCCTGGGGAGCCCAGGGAGCGGAGGGCCTGTGGCTGCCGGGACGCTGGTCTGGCGGGGGAGCGGCATTTCGGGTCAAGGCAGGCTGCTCGCCGCTCTCCTTCCCACACGCTCCGCCGACCAGGACCCCGCTGGGCCCGCACGGGCCCTCTGCTCTCCCTCCTCCTGGAGGAGGCAGGAGTCTGGCTGGGGCAGCGAGCCTGGACCTCTCCCAGCCCGAGCCCCACCCCCACCGCGGGGCACAGCAGGGCCGTCAGAGCTTCCTCCCCCTCAAGTCCTGCAGTCCGTGACTCAGCAGGTGCCCACCCCGACCTGGGCACGCGGTGGCTCTGTGGCCCCGGAACACTTCGGGGGCAATGCCCAGGGCCTGGGGGCTCTGGGGGCTCTGCCTGGACTCGACGTTTGCGTGTTGGGGGGGGGGCCCCAGCCAGCAAAGATGAAGAAAGAGGGTTAGCTTTTTTTTAAGAAAATAAAGCATCGGGTGGGTATGGGATCCCCGAGGAAGCGGGCATTGGAGGTCCCCCAGGCGCCGAGAGGCGGGAGGTCTCAGTGGGCCAGGGCCCTTGCACGTGCGCTCTCCGCTGCTCTTCCCCAAAGAAGCAGGACGCGGGGGTCTTCCTGGGGACCATATTTGGGGGTGTTCCCCTCCAAAGCAGCCCCCCGGCTTTCCTCCCCGGTCGCCCTGCAGACTCCTCAGGGCCTTCCTCGTGTAGGGGCCCGGCCCCGGGGGAGTCCCGCTGTGCGCCCTGGGCCTGGTGGGCGCGGCTCTGCCTCGGGTTGTGCTGTGCTCAGTGAGTGTGCTCGCTCCCTGGGAGGCTCTGCGAGACCTTGCTGTCCAAGGGCGTGATTGGGGCCCCCTCGCCCCGCCCCATGCCTGTCCTGGGGGTTTGGAAGGCAGGCAGGCAGGAAGCGGAGCTCCTCCAGCCTCCATGGTTCTGTGGCCTCGGTTTGTGCTCGCTCCCCAAAGAAAGGAAGTGGGGAGCAGCTGTGCTTGTGTCCCGCCTGCTCCCTCAGGGCAGCGTCTCCTCTGTGCCTTCGAGGAGGGGGCACGTCCAGTGTCACTCCCGGTGAGGGAGGCGTTCAGCTCAGCAGAAAGGGGCTCAGAGCTGTGGCCAGCCCACCTGTCAAAGGGCCCTCTGCAGCGGGCGCGGGGGCGTCACCTCTGCGTCACTGACCCGACCCCACGGCCACCGTGTGCTCGGGCTCCGCGGGAGGGCGGCCGCCCCCCTTGCTCCCCCTCCCTTTCCACAGCAGCTGGGGCGGGACCAGCTCAGGACCTCAGGACCACATTCCCCACCCTGGGGTGCATTCTGGCCTGTTGGGCCCAAGGAGCGCGAGGCGTGAGGGGTGCCTGGTGGGCGAGTTTGCGCGGGGCTGTCTCGGTGCAGCGGTGCTGTTGGAGTGCTGGTGTGGTCCCTAGGCCCCTTGCTCCTGTGTCAGTTTTAAGCCCCGCTCTGTCACCCAGATGAGGTCCTGTCCTCTTCCCTTGCGCCACGAGGAAACACGGCCACTCCGTGTGTCACAGGGCGGTGCCATCCTCCCCAGCCGCCCCAGCCGAGGTTGCTGGGAGCAGTGAGCGAGGCCTGGGGCAGCTGCTGGACATCGGGCCCACCTGCTGCAGGAGGTGTTAGGGGGCCTGCCCTGGCCCCTTGTTGGCCGTGGTGGCAGATTGTCCCAGAGGAGCAGCCGCAGCTGCTCTTGGTTGGGGGCAACTTCCAAAAGGTGAGGTGGAGCTCCCGGGTTGTTCCTGGGGTCCCCTCGGAGGCACCCCGGTCAGTGGCGGTGGACCCGGTGGAGGACACACGTCTGGAAACAGGAGGCCTCGTGCTGGGCCAGCCAGCGGCCCCTGTACCAACAGCTGTCTTTTCCCCACCTCAGAATAGCATTCCTTTCGAACACCACGGCAAGTAGCTGCGCGTCTCCGGTTGGAAGGCAGCACTGGGTGAGTGTGCGCACGGTCGTCCCCAGGCAGCCGGCGCCCGGGCGGGCGGGGGCTGGCCCCTCGCCCCTGTGGGAGCTCGCAGGCGGCTCGGTCCCGCATGCCAGGCGCTGCAGTAGAGCGAGGGCTCTCCGTCCGGGTCTCCCCTTGCGCACATTCCAGAGCACCCGCAGCCAGGTGCCCAGCCTGAGGGGCCCGCAGAGCGCAGGGAGTCCCCAGGCGGGGTGCCTGCGGGACCCGGAGCCCTGCCCGCGCCCTGGCTCCTGGGGCCCCCGGACACGCCAGCCGCTGCGTCCCGGTGTCGGCCGGGGGTCGTGTGTCTGTTGCGCTCCGCTGAGTGGCCGCGCTTGGTGGGGCCTTCTGCGCTCTTGCTGTGTGAGACGCCTGTGGTCTCTGCGGTCCCGGCTTTGTCGTCCCTCTTCCCTCTGCGTTTCTGTCTTCCTCGCTTTGTTTTCTTTTCGAACTTGGTCTCTGCCCGACATCTCGTCCCTGCTGTCGTGTGTACTAACCTTTCGGCCCAGCCGCCCGCTCCCCTGCCGACGTGCATGGCTGGGCGCCCAGGTGCGCCCTCTGGGCCGCGCCGGGCCGCTCCTTCCCTCCGCTGAGGGCTGCCGCTGGGCTCGGCCGCGCGGGGCCTGCCGCAGCTCGGACACGGCGGTGCTCTGGGAGCGTTCAGGGGAACCGCTTGTTACCTCTCCCTCGAAGGATGGGGGTCCCGGTGCCTCAGAGGCCTGGCTCCCAGTTTCAGAGCACCAGAGTATTTGGGGGCGGGTGGCTGGGAGCGAGTATCTCTTCCCGCTTGGGCTCTGTCCTGCCGTTCAGAGCTCCTCGGCTCCGCCTGCATGCCTCCCCCCCCCCCCCCCCGTCTTCCTGTCACCGTTCCGCTGAGCGCACGTCTGGGCCGCAGAGGGCGCTCCTGGAGCGGCTGGGGGTGCGGGCGTCCAGAGTGGGGCTGGGCGACGCCTGTCCCCTTCCTTCAGGGCACTCACTGACCGGCCTGGCCCTATGGCCGCATGCTGACCTTGTCCTGTGCTTTGGCTCCGACAGATTCCTGGTCGGGTGGCGTCCAGTGGTCTTCAGTCTGTCGTGCACCGGTGAGAACTCTCCTTTTTGCTGTGAAGGGCAGACAGTGAATGCATGGCTGATCTACTCTGTTACATGGCTTTACTAGTGACGCTCCCCGGTCTAGGACACCGGGCGCTCTCCAGGCCACCCACTCAGCACCGCCTGTGGGGAAACAAACTAAACTAAACCGGACAGACTCCAAGCGCTGCCACCGCCGGGGCTCCACTGAGGCCCCATGTGGACTCGTTGTCACGGGCCTGGGAAGACAAGCAGAGTGCAAGCCACGTGCAGGAGCCGGACTCCCGTTCCAGAGCCTGCCGGCCCGCCTGCCGCGGTGGCACTCCACGCTCCCCGACGAGTCTGCTGTAACCACCACCTTCTACTCGGTTCTGACAGTTTTGTATCATTTTGCTAAAAATTATTGGCTTAAATCTGTGTAAAGAAATCTTTTTATTGTTTCTTCTTGTCTGTTTCTCCGGTCTTAAAAAAGATGTTGACTTCAGAGTCCCGACTCGGACACCAGCGTGGAGTCTCTGTGTGGCCCGAGGCGGGCGCCGCCGTCCCGCCGGCGATGTACCTGCTCCTGTTGGGCATGGTCCACTGTGGAGAGGGGTGTTGTCCCAGAAATTGTCACGTGTACACGTGTGTGCAGTGTGTGTCTGTGCGTGTGTCATGTGCCGTGTCCTGTGACCTCACCCAGGTGTGGCCGTCTTTCTCGACCATACACTGAGCCACCAGGACTCCAGCCATCGGAGCCGTTGGAAGGCGCAGCTGCGAGCAGGGCCTCGCGTGCTCCCGGCTGCGGCGTCAGAGGCGGGGGCTGTGCCCTCCCTTGGCTGGTGGTGGTGGTTGCCTCGGCGCCTTGGGAGTTGGCGGCAGCTTCTGAACAGACTGTAAATATTAGCGGCGCAGGCGGCCCTTGTTGTGCGCTAACAGCCATGTGCTCGAAACCAAGTGTGGGGCTCGCCGCCCAGATGCAGGTCTGCCCAGAAAGGGCCGGTCAGGGGGGGTTCCCTTGGAAGCGCCAGAAGCGGGGGACCCCATGCAAGCCCTGGGGGGTGTGTTGTGCTTTCATGAGCCTGGGAGCCGGCGGGGCCAGGCCTCCCGTTCTCACCGGAACGGCCTTCAGGGCACAGGGCTCCCAGGGGCTGTCCCCTCGTGGTGCCGCGGCAGAGGCCCCCGGCGGTGGCAGCCAGTGGACAGGATCCCCTCTCGGGAAACGGGCGCAGCGTGTCCACTTGCAGGGGCTTGCCCCCGTCTGTCGCCCCCCTGCAGGGGTGTTTGGAAACCAGAGCTCGTAGGCGGCTGGGGGCCTGCCGGGGGTTCGGGTGCGGGTCCCTCCTGCCCCGCAGCCTCGGGGGCCGGTCCTGGGCGCCGGGCGGCCGTGCGTTGGCGCACGGGGCCCCGGGTTGGTGACGGGGCCGGGCGGTCAGGGCAGGCTGGGGCTCCCCCTCGGAGGTGTGGCAGCTGCGTGCGGCCCCCCGCCCGGGTCCTCAGCGTGTGGCCGTGGACAGTGTCGCGTCCTGTGACGGCCCGCCGGAGCCGCGATGGTGTGTCTGTAGCCATGTCGGTGGCGTGTCTGACCTGTGCATTTGTGTGACCACTGTATTTGTGTATTTCCTACACCGTGTAAATAATAAATATGTGACGACGTCTACCTTTCTCCCCTCCCCCCAGCACGTGGTCTTTATTTCGTCAGCCTGAGAGTTGTCAGGGTGTGGGCAACCATGTGAGAACCAGGGGCCCGGGTGCAGGCACCTGCCCTCCCAGCTCATCGGTGTGGGCGCTTGGTGGGGCCCACGGACAGGGCGGGGTGGGGCCGCTGCACTGGCATCCAGCCCGGCCCCCGCCCTGGAGTGCATGGCACTGGGCCCCCAGCCAGGCCTCCCAGGCGTGTCGACCATCTCAGGCTCTCCTCGTCGTGCCCCGAGTGAGACTCAGGGTGGCCAGCCCTCTCCTGGGGCCAGCAGGGGCGAGGCAGCTTGGTGAGGGGGAGGGGAGACCTCTCTGGGGGGTTCTTGGTCCCCAGTCAGCAACCCCAGGGCCGCTCCCTGTGGCCTGCAGCAGGCGGGTGGAGCTCGTGTCGGGAGCGGGGAGCAGGCATGCACGGCCCGGCGGATGCGCTGTCCACCCCGCATCTTCCCTCCCCGCCTCCCGTTCAGGTAGATGGGTGCCGAGACCGCCAGCCTCTGGGCTGCTGTTGGGGCTGGCCCTTTGGGACCCAACAAGGGGGTGCCGGCGTCTTGGCTTTGCTGGAGGCCCCACCGGCCCGCCTTGCACAGGGCGGGTCCGCAGGTGCAGGGCTGCGCCTTCACCATCCCTGCCCACAGAGGGGAGAAAAGCCAGAAAGGGTGCCAGGCAGGGCCGCGGACGGCAGGCAGTTGCTTGGCCCCCGGATGTGAGCCCTCGCTCGCTTTTCGTTGCAGAGGAGCAGGGACGTGGCATCGCTTCGGCTGCAAGCGGCCCGCCAGGGCACCCGCTGCCGCCCACAGCGCCCTCGACGCACCACCTACTGAGGCGGCCCCAGTGGCCTCTGATCGGGTCCCCAGCCACGCAGGTGCTGCCGGCCACGAGGGCAGGTGGGTGTGAGGGGCTGGGCAAGGCCAGCAGGGCTGGGTGGGGAGCACAGGGAGCCGGTGCCGGCCGTGCAGACCCCATCAAGGGGCGTGGGGTGAATAAACGGAAGTCAGGAAGCTCGTTCTCTTTAAACACACCCCTCCCCGGGCCCCTGGGTGCTGGCGGGAAGGGCCCTCCCCCGGCGGCACCTGGCTCGCGCGTGGACGGGGCCAGGTCCGCTGTCCGTGGAGAAAGTGAGGCTCAGGGTGAGCGGTGGCCCCGCCCCTGCCTTGAGCCGAACGCAGTTCCCCGACACGCAGGTTTATTCCAGACCCTCCCGTGGCAAAGGGAGGGAGTTTTACCCCCAGACACTAGACGGGTGGGCATGAGGGGCGCGGGCAGGCGCAGCGGGGGGGCGGGGGAGGGCCGGGCCCCGGCTCCACCCCCTGAAGACAGTGTCCGAAGCCTGGGTGTCTAGGTCCGCGAGCCCCGCTGCAGGCACCAGGCTGCCCTGAGGTCAGCAGGCTGGGCACCTGGAGCAGGCGGCTCGTAACCTCGAGCTTGGCTTCACCGCAGATCGGCTTTGGAACGACACGGTTCCCACCCGCCACCTCCCCTGAGACACTGATGGGTGACGACCGGCTGCCAGGAGCCGGGGCCCCGCCCGAGCTAGTCCCTTCTGTGGAATAAACGCAAGTCGTGATGCCTCCGTCCTGTTCCCGGCCCCGCGGCGCCGGCTCAGAGGCTCGTTTCCGGGGTGTGAGCGATCTCCCCGCCCTTCTCAGGCTCCGCCCTGAGGAACTGCTCCACCTCCCTTGCGTCCACCCTGTCCCTGTCCTCCGCGGGGGCCCCCGCGTGCCTCCTCCCGATGCAGCAGACGTTGCCCAGCAGCAGCACCAGGGCGGCGGCCAGCACCTCGGCCCCCGCCAGGACGAACACGAACTGGTAGACGTGTGTGGCGTCCAGGAGCCTGCCTGCAGAGGGGCAGCGTGAGCCGGCCCAGCTCCCTGAGCCCCCCGCCGGCCCCCCAGCGGACCACCCCGTTCCTTCCTGACGCCTGCTGGCTGGGTGCCTGGGGACGTGGGGGCCTGGCTGTGCCAGGCGGGGGCGGAGGCTCCTCCCGCCGATGCACCCCCTCCCTGGGACGGGCCGGTGCTGGGGCCAGGGAGCCGGCCGCAGGCTGCTGCCCGCCACCCGCCGCACCCTCACCTCCGGACGGGGGCCCGATGAGCACAGCGACGGCCTCCAGCAGCAGCACGAGGCCGATGGCACTGGAAAACTTGTGGGTGCCCACGATGGCCATGAGCACCTCGAACTGCAGGGCGCCCACCATGCCATAGGAGATGCCGAAGAAGATGCAGAAGACCACCAGGCCGCCGTAGGTGCTGGCTGTGGAGCCTGTGAGGTCGGTGAGGCCGTTGAAGAACATGGCGAAGCTGAAGAGGTAGACAGAGTAGGGCCGCACCCTGGGGAGCCCCGTGAGGAAGCCGGCGGCGGGCCGCGCGAAGATGTCGACGAGGCCCAGCACCGTCAGCAGGAAGGCGGCCTGTGCGTCTGGCACGCCCAGGTCCTTGGCGCAGTTCACCACGAACACAGGTGGCACGAAGAGCCCCAGCGCCATGGTGGTGGCGGCCGCCGCGTAGACGGCGAAGCCGCAGTCCCTGAAGACGCTCAGGTCCAGCAGCCGCCGGGACGGCCCCGCGGGCGCCGGCCCCGCCCCGGCGGCCTCCAGGGGCCTCATGAGCGCTGCGCACACGCAGCAGTTGAGCAGCAAGCCGCCCAGGATGAGGAAGCCGCCCCGCCAGCCGTAGCGGTCTTGCAGCAGCTGTCCCAGCGGGGACAGCGCACAGAGGAACACGGGGCTGCCTGCGGCGGCCAGCCCGTTGGCCACAGGGCGCCGCTTGTCAAAGTAACGGTTCAGCATGACGAGCGAGGGCTGGAAGTTGAGCGCCAAACCCAAGCCTGCCGGGGGCGGGCAGGTGAGCCGCCGCCCGCCCCGCCCCCCGGCCCTGCTCCGCCCCCTTTGTCCCCGGCCCACGCGGTTCACAGAGCCCCTGTCACCGAAGGACATGTCAGGAGGGGCCGTCGGGGGACAAGGGACAGGCTGGCACCCAGGGGTGGGGACAAGAGGGGGGCTTCTCCGTGGGCCCGAGCCATTGCCGTCCGGCCACTGGAGAGCCGACGGGCCCACACGGTGCCCTGCCCCACCCCCGGGCTGGGCCCACTCACCTGTGAGGACCCCAGTCGTGAGGTACAGCTGGATGATGCTCCTGCAGAAGGAGGCAGCCACCATGCCCAGCGACGCCAGCAAGCCGCCCACCAGCATGACTGGCCGGCAGCCAAAGCGATTGACACACACGCTGCAGAGCGGGCCTGGGGGGGACAGTGGCTGAGTGTCGGGTCCCCCTTGCCCAGCACCCGCAGCGCGGCAGACGCTCCAGGAGCACACGCGGCCCAGAGCGCCATCGCAGCCCAACACCGTGTTGGCGGCCTCCTCGCTGGTGTCCGCAGGCCCCGAGGGCCAGCCGTCCGCAGGGCGGGGGGCGGGGCCCGCCCCATGCTCCGGGACTCACAGCCGGGCAGGCATGGCTGCTCGGACGGTGCCCGGCCGGCGCGGGGCCCTCACCTGTCCCATACAGCATGGCGAGCAGGATGGACGAGATCCAAGCCGAGTCGCTGTAGCCGATGCCGAACTCGCGCATGAGCTCCTTGAAGAAGACGCTGACTGCCTTGGGGAAGGCGTAGGAGAAGCCCGTGACGGCGAAGCAGCCCAGGAGGACGGCCCAGCCCCAGCCCCCGTCGGGGGCCTTGACGGCTGGGCCCTCATCCACCACAGCCCCTCCCATGGCAGGAGGGCGGGGTCCAGGGTCCTGGGTCCGTGTCCCTGAGGAAGGACGTCAGGTGGTTGTTTGGCCACAGCCCCGCAGTGGGGACACACACCGAGAGGGCTGGCCCTGGGCCGGCACCCCTTCCTTCAGGCCTCAGCCCCCAGGAGGGGCGCGGCTCGGGGCGGCCCCCTGGCAGCCGGCGCCCAAGGGCAGCGGCTTTGCTGGGCTCAGCCGGGTCTCAGGCCACCTCTGGGAGGCAGTCCCCACGCCTCCCACGGCGGCTGCGGCTGTGGCCGCCAGCCCTGGGGGGATGCAGCTGCTCCCCAGACCGGAGGGACCCAGGGCCCTGTCTGGGGGCGGCGGCCAGCCTTGCTCCCCCACCGCCAGGGGACTGGGGCTGGGGGCAGACAGCGGTGCCGCTGAGCGGGCCGGTGGGGACCGAGGACAGGCCCTGAGCCCTCTGCCCAGCCAGGGGGGTTCCACCCACTGCCGTGCGCAGGCCGCAGCTGCTCCGGGGAGAGGCCGCGGGCCAGGCGGGCAGCAGGCGCTGAGCTCAGATGCCCGTCTGCCGCTGGACTTGACGCCGCGGTGTGGGCGCGGCAGGCAGCGAGGGGCTTCCATCCAGCTGCAGGGAAAACCGCCAGGCGGACCCTGTCATCTGCCCCGGACCCTGCCGCGGCCCAGGGCTGGCTTCCCTCTCCGTCCCCGGGGACGTGGTGCGTCTGAGGTGCAGGCCCCTGGAACCCGGGACCAGGCCTCCAGCGGGACGTCGGCCCTCCCCTGCAGTCTCCACCCCCTGTCCCTCCCTCCAGCCGATCCTGGCACCAAAATTCTAGTCCCAGGCCAGCCTGGTGGTCTTGTCCCCCCCACCTCAGTGGACGGCAGCTGTTCCAAGGCGAGCCGGCCCCCTGGCTGCAGGCGCGGGGAAGGAGGGCAGCGCGAGGCCTGGGCGTGTTCAGGGCCTCCATCCTGCCGGCCGAGCGCTGGAACCAGCTCTCCGTGGGGAGAGCAGACCCCCTGGTATCAGGGCTCCGCCTTCTCTCGAGGCCGCGAGCCTCCTGACATCCCTTCCCATCAGCCCCCCTGCCCCGCGCCGGGCTGGCTCCAGTCTCCGGGCTCCACTCCGGCCCCTTTGCCCGGACCCCGCCTTGACCTGGTGCAGTCCCCTCCCCAGCGTCCTGGCCACAGGTGCTGTGCCTTCTGGCAGGGGAGGGTCTGATTTGGTGGGTGTGGGGGGGATGCTTTTCAAGGGGTTCCTGGGTGACACCAAGCAGCAGCAGAGAGGGTCCATGGACACCACCCCTGGGATGACCGGACTCCCAGGGGCCGGCCAGCCCTCAGGCGATGACCGGGTAGCCACTGGGGCAGAGCTGCCCCCGCCCCGCCCGGGCTGGGCCAGGGGTCGGGGCCAGTGCCGAGGGTGCCGGTTCTAGGAAACCCGAGGGAGCTCCCCGCTCGCCGGCACCCAGACCCCAGTGCCCTGGGTGCCAGGGAGGCTCCCCACTGACGGTGGGCCAGACGGGTGGTTTCGGAGGCAGGGGCTGTGCGACTGTCCGGGGGCGGCAGAGGGGTGCACGGGGCGCCCCTCCTCATCCTGCACGCTCGCCCCCAGACCTGCAGCCTGCAGAGACCCTTGGGGGGCCCACCTGTGCGCCCGAGGCACACAGGGGCCTGGGACAGCATGGCAGGGGACCGGGCCTGTCCTCCACCCGGCCTCAGACCGGTCGGCCAGGCCAGGGCCTGGGGTGGGGCGGGACACCCCGCAGCTGCACACCCCCACGGGCACCGAGCGGCACGCCTCCAGAGGTGTCTCAGAATAGTTTTAAGGAAAAACTACTAGAAATATATACGTCTCAGGGATGCATTGCGGTGTCATGACCTTATTTAAGGCAGAAAGCGTGGGTGCCCCTGACCCAGGACTCATGGTGCGAAGGAGGGGCCTGTGCCCAGAACCAGCCCTCAGGCACGGCCCAGCTCTGCACACCCAGCGTTGCACAGCAAGCCGGGGCCCTTCCGCACTGGCCACCCCACCCCTCTCTCGCCAGTCTTGGAGGCTGGAGGCTCCCGGGGTCTGCAGCGGACACGCCAACTGCCCCTGGGACATGCGGTATCCCCTGACCCAGCGGCTGGCACGGTGAGGAGGCCAGAGACCAGAAGGGGACAGCATGTCGCGGGACCCGTGTGGGCCTAGTGGCTGCCCCTGCACGGCTCTCCTGGGGCGCCCTGTGCCATGGCCCCTCCCGCCGGCCCCCGCCCCCGCCCCCGGCTCTTCAGTCACTGCTTTCCCCAGCCTGGCCTGTGGGGCAGCAACGCAGCGGCCCTGCCGCGCCCCCACCCCAGCGGCTCCTCCCAGCAGGGGCTGGTGGACACGTCGGGGGAGGGGGGCTCGGCTCGGGGCAGAGGGCGGTGGGTGGGAGCGTGAGGCGGGGCGGGGGCGGGGGCTGTGGGGGCTGCGGGGCCCGGGCTGCCTGCTGTCCAAGGGAAACCTGCCGCTGCCCCGGCTCGACCCCGCCCCTGGGGCACGGCCGTGGGTGCACGTAGCCTGGCTGGCCTTTTGTGACATTTACCCTCCCAGGGAAGCACGCAAACCATGTCCCCAGCCCAGAAATAACCCGCCTTCTGGGCCTTCGAAAGCTGATCCAGGTGGGGGCCAGGTGCTGGCCTGCAGGCCAGGCGGTGCCGGGCCCTTCCCCCAGGCACCACACCCTGGGCGGCCAGAGGCCGAGCGGAGGCCGAGGAGGAGCGTGCACGGGGGGCCCTTGGAGGGACCTGTTCCGCAGATCACACACCTGGGGATCCACCGTGCCCCCTGCCCCCAGTCCGGCCCCCGCAAGCCGCTCCCTCAGGCGTCCCTGCCTGTGGGCCTGGCCGGTGAGAGAGTCCCAGCCCCTGACCCCCCGACCCCCGCTTGCTCGACCGTGAGGCCCTCGGGGCCTGGCCACCTCTGGCATCACCCCACAGTGTCCCCTTCTCTGCCTACAGTCCCCGGGCTTTGAATTGCATTTGGGTGCGGACGGCGCCCAGCCACATGCCCGTGGTCCCCGGCGCACCCCGGCAGGCTCCCCGCCCCAGCCCGCTCTGCACTGCAGCCCCCGGCCCTGTGCCTTGGGTCCAGTGTCCGGCCCCTCCGCCCCCAGGGCAGGCCACGCCCCCTGGGTTCAGCACAGTGGCTCCAGCCTGGGGGCCGGCAGCCTGTCCCAGTGCTCCCTAGGGGGCCTCCTGGGGAGGCCAGCAGCCTTCCCCCTGTGCGCCCAGCCCTGGGCGGGACCGGACGCGGGTCTGCTCTCCCTGACTCCTCCCTCAGCTGGAGCCCCTGGCACCCAGGGGACCGTGGTGGCAAGCACCTCCGTGCTGCCTGGAGGAGGGAGGGGCCCCCCGTCCGCTGTGCGTATCTGGACCCTCGCCTGCCTGGGGCTCAGAGAGCTGCCCCTGCTGGCCGGGCACAGGGCCCCAGATGCCCGCCCCGCCGGCCGCGTGCCAAGCTGTGACTGGAGGGGGCGTGGGCAAAGGTCTGTGCCTCCCAGCGCGCCCGGCGCCCTTGCAAGCTCTGGGGTGACTGCCATCTTCTTGCAAGGCTGGTGGGGCTGAAACTGCCCCAGGAGGGGGCAGGTGCAGGGAGGGAGGTGGCTGGGGAGCGGGAGCGGAGGGGCCTCACATGCCCGCCCCCAGCCCCAGCGCTGGAGCGACGGCCGGATGCGCCTCCCGCCGCAGCTGGGGGCTGGGCGAGGGCGGCTCGGGCGGGCAGGATGCTCCGCGGGTCCGCTGGCCGGGCCGCGGGACGTGGGGGACGTGACCGCGCCGAGGGAGGAGCCGCCGCCGTATTGCCTGGAGTAGGCGCCCCCGCTTGTCCGATGCCGTATTAGCCAGCGTGCATGGCCACGTGTGGGGGCCGGGTCGGCGAGCCCCGCGGCAGCGCGGAACCCGGCAGCTCCCCCAGGGCGGACCGGCTCCGTCGGCCTCCGCAGGGACGTCCCACACCCGGGCCCCCCGACAGAGTCCCCTGACGGCCTGTTTCACAGACAGGGACCGAAGCAATGCTTGAGGAGACCCAGACCCTGTCTGCCCGCTCCCCACCCCCACGAGCGGGTGCCCACGGTGCCCAGGCCTGGCCCCAGGCGCCATGGGTGGGTCGCCGGTTCTGCGTGGCGGCTTCTCCACGCGCCTCCTCCCAGAAGGGCCGGCCCAGGGTCCCCTCCACATGCGCTGCCCTGGGGAGCCCAAACCCCCTCCTCACTGCCCCTCCAGCTGCGTGTCCAGCTGGAGTCAGCAGGGGCCAGGCTGCCTGCTGGCGTTGGGCCTGCCAGAGGCCCCGTGGGGTCCTTACAGAACCTGCCTTGTGACCAGGCCTCCCAGGGCCCACCCCAGGCTCCGTCCACACCACAGATGACTGGGACAGGAAGGCCCCACGCCCACTGGGACGCTACCGCCCGTGTCCCCAGAACCCCTGTGGGGCAGGCCTCCCACTGCAGAGCAAGACCTCACGCCCCCCGGGGCCCAGACAACCTCCCAGCGCCCACCTGAGCCCGGGAGACCCTCGGGCTTTGGCAGCAGGCGGGGGACCCTGGCACCCGCCCACAGAGCTTGCACCCCTTCTCTGGGCTTCGGGCGAGCCCCGCGGGCCCGGGCTGCACGGGCGAGCGTCCAGCTGCCGTCCGATGACCCTCAGACCACCTGGCCACGGTCATCACACAGCGGCCCAGGCGCCACGCAGCTCAGGGCCTCCGGGACAGAGAAGCACTCTGGCCTCTCTCCTGCGCCTCTGCCCCTCACCCAGACACCAGGCACCGCCAGCGGCCCGGCAACCACTTCCCGTCCACTCACCAGCCTGCTAGGCACTGGCCTGGACCGCTGTCCAGGTAGGGGTATCGTCAACCCACTGCTCAGATCACTACACTGAGGCCCTGCCTGGCCTTCCCGCGGGCTGGGGCTGGGAGGGGTGCAGGGAGCCCAGGGAGCCCAGGCCAATTTCTGGGTGGAGGAGTAAATTTAGGGAGAGGCGAGAAGGGAAAGGAGGTGAGAGCGAG